CGCGGTTAAGCTGGGATGGTGGCTCTTGGTTTTGTACATGGTGTTATCAGCTACAAATCTACTGTATCAAGGACGCATTGTTAGAGCACTAGAGATTATGACGCGAACTTGGAATGACTATCGAAGATGTGTAGTATTTCTTCGAAGCTTTTCGGCCTGTTTCTAGCATGCTGTCTAAGACAAAGAGGTAGCACCAATCTACCCCACTTGACCGACTATCAGTATCGTGACTCTTTTTCGATACACGCCAACCTAGGAAAAAGCTAAACACCCTAGAGTCTACGTTGACGTTAGATCGCCTACTTTGCAAGTTGTTGGTGTCATGTAGTCTGCAGACCTGTTCAGGTTTTTTCTTGTATGAGGTGGATATGGAAACCAAGGGCCAGGTATCATCGTCGAGATACCGGGTCCCAGCAGGAGACCGAGAATGTATTCAGGCCTTATCGACTAGATGCGACACCCTCCGGTTCTCTCTCTAGATACCATACTCCATCCACTCTCTCAAGTACTTGTTGCCGATCCACTGCTCTGCCTCTGGAATAACCTCGTCATCTTCCGCAACTCTGTGATTTGCCTTGATGACGGGTACTGTGAAGTTCGCAGGTAAGGTGGGGAAGTACCTTAAGTTCTCGGCCTGCAGTTGCGCCAAGTGTACTTTTGGGCCTTTACATGGCTCTCTCCATTTCTTTCCAGATTCTTTCAACATAGTATATTCGGATTCGTCGAAAATAAGGTATTTGGTGGTTTCGCCACGGTATGCATAGTAAATGGATAGAGCCGCCATAAAGAAGAAGACAACGTCGTAGTGCCGGCGGTTGGTGTATGTCCAGAAAGGGTTATAACACTTGACTCTCATAGTGGGGATGTCGTTGCAGAGTCGGGCGAGGCGTGCGACAGCCTCCGCGCTCTCACTATCGAAGCACTTTGGATCATACTCGTCGCATGTGATGCTGATGGTCTTAATCCAGGACCTTTTGGCAATAGATATCGACGACACCCAGGCAGTAAGCATGTCGAACGGAGACTCATGTCTCGAACCCTCAGACAATGTGACGTCGTTGAACTTGAGCTCCAAACCAGCAGTCTCTGCATACAACTGCTTGTTAACATACTTGAGCTGGTTGTATTCGACAAGCTTCTCGTCATCCCCCTGCTGGAAAGGTGCCTCGCGATGGTAGAGGTAGGGCTTGTCTTCACCATCCTTAGGCATGCGGTAATGCAGCGGCTCTGAGTGGGTGAGAGCAAGTTGGTCGATCGTGTTGCGGAGCTCGGCCGGTAAGTCCAGAAGAAGCGAGGTGTTGGCCATCGTAGTGCGATAGTGGTTGAGACTTGTTTTCGGGAGATGAGGAAATTCAGTAGGGTTGGGGCTGTAATTGACACAAGAAATTGTGCTTGAGACCCTCGGTTGACTAGTGGCCGGTTGTCGTTCCAAGGTTCGGTCTGCGCCGCCTAAACTGGAAGGGGGTGCTTCCCTTCACCTACACTCCAGCAATACAGCAATACAGCAATACAGCTCGTCTCTCACCCAACAGGCCCGCACTCTTCGGGTGAATGCGTCATTACCTCCATGTTCCCCTACACGCCATTCACTTCTTGCACTCACTGGAGCTGACTTCGACTACATCTCCTTCACTTTGGGTTCAGTCCCGAAACTAAATCGTGTCATCTACTCAACCAGACTATGACCAACATACCGGCTTATAACGCAGAGCTCATGTATGGGTACGTCGGTATCGTGATCAGCAAGCTAACTTCTGTAACATCACGTGCAAACTCAAAACCCAACTACACCTGGGCAGGGCTGCGTAAAGCGTGTCGTACGATTCCAATATACGTAAAAGTGGTTAGAGTCCACAGCAGGTTTAGGGCTGAGTTGGTGTTGCGATATGTCGGCGAAATTCTTCAGCAGCCGATGGGGTGGAAAGATCCATATTGACGAGACGAGGCATTTCCACTCATCTCGACCAGGATGGGTTCGGCATGGCTATTCGATCGGAGAAGGCGACGCTGGTGGAAGCGTGACCATCCGAAGCAAGGCCGGAGGAGTTGGCGATTGGATAGTCATGGGTTCGCGTCGTGGGAGTGGAGGGGAGTTCCTGAAAGCAGAGCGGGCCATGGCCCTGCCGCTGCAAGGGCATGAAGATCTTTTATCGTAAAACCGGTAGAGGCGGAAGATCTTGGGCGCTGACAACGTCGCCATAGCAGGGTAAACCAGGTTTTAGTGGGCTGAGGAGCGGAACCGACCTCGGGAGGTGGCGGTGCAGTTCGGCTCATGTCATGCTTGGCGAATGACGAGTGACGACGCTGTGAACCAACTGGGCTGCTAGCCACGACTGGCAAGAGTCAAGAATCTTCTTAACCTTCGCACGTGAACCACCCTGCCCATCACCTGTCGCTCCTGTGACTCTTCCCTACGCCTCGCGCACCTCACCTGGCCACCGACCCAACAACAACCATTCTTGAGCGCTTTCGAGCGCGCGCGCCTAGGCTTGGAATCCACTCAGCCACGCTTTGCTGCTTAGTATCACGACCAGATCAGCACTTTTCAGCCGCGAAATCAGCCCACCGACAACAGATAGCTTGATAACCTCAGGCATCAGCGCTTCCCCAGGCCTGACTCTATGCACACAAACGCGCCTCACCAGGCTGAAGATCAACAACACCTCGGCACAGCCAGCGCATACCGTATACCGAAAATGGCGCTCAACGGAGTGCGCCGGAAAGATACGACCAAGGGGCCGCCGCTGCGCGTTCTGTCGTTAGGTATGTTGGTGATATGATGTAAGGCCTCAGTATGGCAGGTGCTAACCCATGTGACAGACGGCGGCGGTGTGCGGGGGTACTCCATGCTCATCATCCTCCAGGAATTGATGCACCGGACTTTTGTCGAAACCGAAGGCAGAGCCCCAAAACGGCACGAAGTACCCAAGCCATGCGAACACTTCGATCTCATTGTCGGCACCGGCACGGGAGGCTTGATCGCTATCATGCTGGGGCGGCTGAGAATGGACGTTGAGACCTGCAAGGACGTCTACGTGCGCATGACGAGGAGAGTCTTCGAGACCGACAAGACATTTGCCGGCATACCGTATCGATCGACATTGTTCAAGGCGTCGAAGCTGGAGGAGGCCATCATGCAATGCGTGCGCGAACACACAATCTACGACGACGAGGGCAACGATAATCACAACGGGCAGGATGCACCGCCCATGACCCCCGGGAGCGCAATATCGGGCCGCATGCAAAGAAGCGCTAGTAATGCCAGCAACTACAGCCAGATTGGCATGACTCCCGTGAATATGCGCATAGCCGCCATGAAGTGGGGGAACCCTCACGCCCAGCTATATGACAACAGAGAAGAGCGCACTAAGACGTGAGTAGGACGCATGTCGTTGATATGCCAATGCGCTAACTGTCTGCAGTGCCATCACAGCTGTCTACAAGGGCACCAAGAAGTCTGGCAACGGCCAGGTTCTCCTCCGCTCCTACGATTCCCGTAAAGAACCTCCAATCGAACCAAACGCCACGATATGGCAAGCCGGCCGAGCAACTTGCGCGACCGCCCTAGCATTCAAGCCAATCCAGATCGGCCAATCCGTCTTCCTCGATGAAGGCTCCGGCAAATACAACCCAGCGCCTATGGCTCTCGACGAAGCTGTTTGCAACGAATGGCCTGGGCGCGAAGTTGGCGTTTTCATAAGCATAGGCACCGGAAAGCGGCCAGAAGGCACAAACGCACAACAGCATCTGTGGTGGGAAGGCTTCGTTTCCGGTGGCATGGGCGACTTTGCAGAGGCGAGACGGAAATTGATCCAGAAGATTGAAGATTGCGAACGGACACACAAGGAGATGAAGGATCACCTTGCGAAAAGACAAGTCAACCCCGAGAACTACTACCGTTTGAACGTCAACGTCGGCGTGGGAGAATTTGGAATGAATGAGTGGAATGCGCTCGCGGAAATCAGCACGAATACACGCATGTACCTGGCGGACAAGGGAGTACAAGGCATGACGCTTGACTCGGCTGCCAAGATTGCAAGGATACACTTCGCAAAGGTGCGATGGGAGCGCGCAGCCAAGGGAGAGTCGCCATTCTCGCCAGGCGCTCAAGCACCAAACAAGCCCCTTCCTACGGTCCCAGACCCAGCGCCCATGGCAGTCGAACTACCGGCCGAGGAGCTCGCGCCAGAATACTACACAAACATACATCCCGCCTTCCGCCCTCCGCCAGAACCGCGCCGGCCATCAGACAACGACAAGTTCCTGGTTGTGTCATCAGACGAATATCCGCAATCAGCGGCGAGTACAGATGGATTCAGCGACTTCCACCCTCGGCATTCAGGTGAACTAGTGTCGCCAGGACGTCGCTCGGACGAGCAATTTTCAGCGGGGCGTCCAGTATCCTGGATGAGCTCTGCGCCTAGCTGGGATGATCGCATGTCCAACGCTCCGCCTAGACCACCTAAGACACCTCTGCAGGATGGGCTTCACCCACCGCCTCTATCCGGTGCACGCACATCACCCCCCTCTGGCTCTCACTTCGCAAGACCCCCTCCAGGTGCACCACTACCGTACCCGGATACTGACGGTCCGCCACCGATTGTCAATAAGGCGACGAAGCCGGATTATACACGGTAAACGAGTGCGAGGTCGATCTTCTTTTTGCATATATGCTTGAATGGTGTGTGGAGTCTTGCATGGCCTATCTCTACGAAGGAGCGCCCATATCACGATGTTTCACGGCTGATAGTTTGTTGAGAGAATAGTTTAGATACCCATCGAAGTTTTCTTTGTTTCGCTCAATGTCATGAACTTTTTGCATAAATCATCGTCTTTCCATGTCGCTTCTCATATTTTCCAATCATCAAAAGGATCGGTGTAGCCCATGTGTGCTGATCAGAATACATGCATGACCGAACCGCTTCGCTGCATCAACGTCAAAAGCTATGCATCGTCGTCATGATCTCGAGAACCTCCAGTACACCTTTGTAGAAAGCGAGTCAATCCTCGGCCAGAAGATCCTCCTCCTTGGGCTCGGGCTTAACTGGAGTCAGCTCGTCCTCGTCCTCCTCAACCACAACCTCCTCAGCAACCTTCTTCTTACGTCCGCGCTTCGTAGGTGTAGCTTCTCCCTCGGCACCAGCGTCACCCTTGGCCTTACGCTTGCGCGGAGTGGGCGTCTTCTTGGGACCAACCACATCGCCCTCTTCGACACCACGAAGAGCAGCGAGGTCGGCCTTGAGGGTGCCCTTGAGGCGGTCGACCATGATGCGACAGGCGCCGACGGACTTGCCATCAGGACGGGGCGCGTTCTGTTCAGCTATCAATAAAGAGGATGATAGAGGGAAGAGGAGGGTACGTACGGCGAAGTCAAGCTTGACGTTGGAGAACTCGACGAGGTTGAAGTAGTACGCGAGCTATGGGTCTTTGTTAGCAGTGGACAGTAGAATCTGTGTGTGGTGAGGTGGAAGCGGTACATACACGTTGACGGTCAGTCCAGCCCTTACCCTTGTTCCCCTCGGTGTCTGACATCGTGAATTGGTGTCTTGTTGTTGTGTGATGTTGTGTATGAATGTAAGGCAGAATGTAACAAAGAAAGGATGGCAGATGCGAAGTTTGTGATGCGAAGTGTGAGGTTGTAAGAAGATGGAAGGTCGAGGGTCAGAGGCTTGTTTATATCTGGCGGCGCAACTGTGTTGGTGAGTGCGATCTTGGCATGATTGACAACGAGGTGAAGGTGAGTATGCAAAAGTGTACGCGTGCGTCGATCTAAACTGGGAAATTGCAACGCGTTAGGAAGTGAGTGATTATTTCTGGGAAAATTAGGTCAACGAAGTGCGCGAGTCTCGATCCAAGTTTGATTTGTTGAGTATGCCTTGATGCATATGCCATATGGAAGCTGACGATGCAGCTAAGCAAGACTATCAGACTACTCAATGCGTGCCGTGAACCTATTCCGAACGCCAGACGCTGATGTGCGTTGCAAAACGCTCATGCCAACTGCTTCTTCCCCATGCGAGCAATGCCATAGTAGTACCGCTGTGGACCTTCAGATGTCATCAGCCTCCTTGAGGATGTTGTCGTCATCATCGTCCTTGACCTCCTCCTTGACAGCCTCATCCTCCAGATCCTCCTCAACCTCCGGAGTGGGCTCCTTCTTCTTCTTCGGGCGACCGCGACCTTTCTTGGGAGTGACTTCGGCGTCATCACCGTCCTCGTCAATCTTGGCCTTCCGCTTGCGTGGTGTTGCCGCCTTCTTGGGTGTGACCTCAGAAACAGGTACTCCCGCCTCCATGGCCTCCCACTCCGGCTTGAGAACGTTCTTAAGCGCGTTGATCTTCTGCTTGAAACCGCTGGCGTTGCGACCGGCCGGGTAACAGCCCTCCTACTTCACGTTAGCGGGGAGTAATTTGTGCATTGCAGAAGTCAGAATGGAACTTACGTTGTAGTTGAAGACAGAGCCGTTCTTGTTGACGAGGTAGAGCAGACTGGAGAGCTAGTCAAGGTCAGCATCGCGCGATTGACAGAGTGCAGCTGCCATTAGGTACTCACCAAGTCACGGTCACTCCATCCGGTACCGGTGGCCTTCTTGGTATCCGACATGATGTGTTTGTCGTTTGTGTTGTTTTTGTTTACTGGATGGTTCGTAGTGCGGAGGAGTGTGGAAGAGAAGATGAACTGAGGGAGGTGGAAGTTGGAGGAGAGGCGGCTCAGACTGATGTTTATATTGAAGGTGAGAGGACCGCCAAGCGTCCAGATTGACCAGAGCTTGAGCTCACCGTGAGTTCGTAAAGAGTAAACGCGGCACGTGGTGCATGGTGCGATGTGCATCATACGTGGTGAAGGTGAGTCAGTTGCTCACGGCAACGCGATAGCCGCTTCATGGATCGTGTATGCCGTGTTGATTCGACTCGGTGGTTCTCAAACGAGGGAAACCTCCAAAATATACATTCTACGAGCTATCACGATGTATTCTATAGGTATGCGACATGCTGCACTGATTACCTACCCTACTTTGATGGGCACCCGGCGTTGAGAGGCGATAGCAAGAACCAGTTTCGATGAAAACCATCATATGTCGCAAATGCATCTACAAGTTCTGCGATATATTCTGCCATGGCCAGATGTAGATTGAAAAACGAAGTTGGAGTGAAACTGACAAAGTGATCGACGAAGATGCAGCCCAGGATATCAGAATGTACAACACCTACCTGGACAGTGTATAAGAAGCCACACCCAAGCGAGCTTGCCACTGTCGCAAAGAAATGTTTGCAAGTACCAAATTGTGTATGAAAGTCGTCTCCATCCAAAATGTCTTCTTAAATGGTGCTCGTAATGGAACTTCCTGTCTCGATATCGATTTTTGCGTCCAAGCACTCAAACCATACACAAAGTCAAGGCTGCGATATCAGATCGCATCATATCCAATAACATCGGGATCACCTGTGAAAAAACGAGATATCGCCATAGTGGAAAGCAGAAAAGCACCCCATACCTAAAACAGGCAGTCAAACACGGCCACACACTAGCAGCTGCCAGCCACCTCAACCACCAAGTCGTCCCGATTCGACCCGCTCCGACCATCTCGCATACGGCGATATGCGAACCATTGAATCAGTGCGTACCGGTGGATGTGGGTCCGGGGTAGAAGCGGGCCTTCCCGTGCGTCGATGAGCCACCGCATGCGGCACCGAGGCTGGCATGGGTCTGTGCCTACTATAGTTCGAGGGGTTTTGATAAGGGTTCGCGTGGTGTACGGGATTGGTCGGGTTGATAAGAGGAGGTGTTCGAGGCGTGCGGATCGTCTTATCGTCTTACTGTATCTTTGTGAGATCAGACGGCGGATGAGGGGTCGGACAGTGAGGGGGTCCGCGTCGGGGGCTGTTGGGCGGTTTGGGTGTTCTCAACAAATGCTCTTCTTGAGACTTATGCTACCTATCCGGTGTGATACTAGGGCGAAGATAGAGACATTGATCATGGCCGCTTGAGGTCACAGAAACGAAGTCAGGGAGATAGCAAATATTGTCCATAACATAATGTATTGTCATTCCAGTGCGCTCAGCTGCACCAGGTCGGAGGTATCTAGGTGTACTACAAGTTATCGTGAGATGCGATTAAATGTAGTAGGGTATCGAAATCCGTCCAGCCATCCCACAGAAAAGGAAATTTTGTGACCCATTGCCCAGTCTAAATGATATCAAGACCGAAAGAAGAAAAAAGGTAAACCTAAGTGGCTAACCCTGACGCCAAAGAACATGTCGACGAATTAGAAAGCTACAAGTGAGCAACACCGTTGGTGACCTCAGCGACACCGACGGTGGTGCCGTTCAACTTTTCGTTCGCGTAAAGTTGTTGAGAAACCTTCTTGTCGAAGTACTTGGGCTCGGTGTATGGGTCGTACATGTTCTTCTTGATGTAGGCGTCGAGTTGCTCGTCGGTAAGACCACGGAGCTCGGTAGCGCGGTCAACACCGTTCTTCTGAGCTGCACGGATGACACCGCGGGTTACGATGACGGAGACTTCGCGGATGCGGCGGATATCGGGGTACAACCAGCCATCGGCGCGCTCTTGCTTGTTCAATGAAGTCGACAGTGATTCTGCAGAGGCGTAGATCATGTCTTGGGTGACGGAGACAGCCTTGGAGATAATGGCACCAAGTCCGATACCAGGGAAGACATACATGTTGTTTCCTTGGCCGGGGGTGAGCATCTTGCCGTCGAACTCCATTGAGGGGAAAGGAGAACCGGAAGCGAATAGGCAACGTCCCTCAGTGGCGATAACAGCCTCCTCGAATGTGCACTCGGATTTGCTTGAAGGGTTGGAAAGAGGGAAGATGATGGGGTGGTTGTTGAGCTTGGCCATCTTCTCAAGGATGTCCTTGTTGAAGGCACCGCCGATGGTCGACAGACCCATTAGGATAGTGGGTTGTACGTAGTCGATGAGGCGGCTGAGCGACTGGTATTGGCGGCCGTTGTTGTCGTCACGAGCAAAGAAGATCTTGTGCTCGGCCAGCTTGTCACCACGGTCCAGGGTAACGAGACCGTTTGAGTCGACGAACCAGAACTTGCGCTTGGCCTCGTCCTCTGTCAAGCCCTCCTTGATGAAGTACTCAACGATCTGCTTGGCAACACCAACACCAGCACTGCCAGCGCCGAGGAAAATAGCCTTGTGGTCCTTGGCGGGAACACCGGAAGCCTTGACGGCGTTGATGAATCCACCGACAATGACGGCGCCAGTTCCCTGGACGTCGTCGTTGAACATGGCGTATTGGTCTTGGTAGCGTTCTAGGGCGGGGAAGGGGTTCTTGAAGTCCTCGAATTGGATGACGATGCTGTCACACGATTAGTTTCCTGAATAGGATACGAATGCAAAGTACGTACCTGGGCCACTTGTCGGTAAGGGCAGCCATGAGCTCGTCGAGGAACTCCTTCTCTTGCTCGGGAGTAACCTTGGGCATGCGGGATCCCATGTAGAGGGGGTCGTCACGGAGAGCCTTGTTGCTGGTTCCGAGATCGAGAGTCAGGGGCAGAGTGCTGTCTGGCTTGATACCAGCGCAGGCGGTGTATAGAGCGAGCTTTCCGACGGGAATACCCATGCCGTTTACACCAAGGTCACCAAGACCCAAGATACGGGATCCGTCTGTGAGGACAGTGATGTCGACCTGGTGAGGCCAGTTGTCGAGGATCTTGCGAAGGTTGCCGCGGTCGCTCCATGAGAGGTACATGCCCTCGGGTTGTGTCCAGATCTCGTGCCATCGTACGCAGGCCTCGCCGACGGTGGGGGTGTAGATGAGGGGAGTCAATTCCTGGGTATGTTAGTTTACTGCCCTAGAAATACTACTGAGTTCTCACATACCTTGATGTTCTCTCCGAGAAGACGGTAGAAAAGATGTGGGTTGGTGGCCTTGAGGTGGACGAGGTACTGGAACTTCTCAATGGGCGCCGTCTTCATAGCAAGGAGCCTGAGGCCTTGGTTGAGTTAGCAGTGATATGTGGATAATCGGTGTTTGACATACATCGCTCGCTCTGGATGTCGTAGCTCTCGACGGCGGGGGGAGTGAGGCCGTATGTGCCCAGGGTCCTGCGGACGTCGGGCGTGTAGGACAGGTCGTAGTCACCGGAAGTGGTGCTCAGTTGGCGGGCCATGTTGGGGCGTGTGGCGGAGGGCATGGTGTCGTTTGCTATAGTGGCCATACAACGAACGAAAGAGGGTTTTTGGATTGAAGAACGGAGGCCTTGGGCGGGAGCCGTAACTTTTATAAGCGGTCTGAATCGCTGCATTGAAATGAGCTGAAACGACGCGTCGGCAATTGAAAAGGAATTAGGAAGACAGCCCGCCTGGGGCGCGGAGGATGGGGGGCTACATAACAAGCAGCCTATCGGAGGGGTCTAGGTTCCGCAACAGTCAGTCTGTGAGGAGATCCGTTCTCGCCGTCAAAGTGTGCCTGTAAAGGAAGCATGGACCAGCCCGTTGGTGACTTTTACGCGAGTCCCTTCCCCAAGTTTACCATCTTGCCGCGTGCACGACTGCAGCTTCAACACTACACGCAAAACAAACTGCATTGCATTTCCTAGCATTCTACCACCGCTTCAGTCTGTCTGCAGTTTGTCTTCCAGAATTTTGCTCGAATCCTGAGGGATGCCGATGCTCGTCGTGTCACAGCCACAGCCACCGGGTAGCAGGGGTCATGACTGGACGTGCATACGAGTCGGGAGCAATCGGAACGCCCATATTTGCCTTGACGGAATGCCGTAGGATTCTTCCATGGGCTTCAGTCTTCGTCCGCTCACCTTCTGTGCTATCTTGCTTTTGCCGGTACTCTGTCCTAGCTGGAAAGTAGCCCGAACGGCTCTCACCCGCGCCCTCGTCTTTGGTATACCGCTGTTTTCTTTTGGTCAACGACAGCATGCCCGTAGCCCAATATCGCGCTCGTTGCGAGGTCAGGCATCGAGGCATTTTATTTCCGCAGTCAATGCGCAGCGCCGCGTTGCAACAGCGTGCTTATTATTAATCGCGTTGATCTGACGGGAAATGTCTCATGGCCATTCGCCACATGGTACCTTGAAGTGCTGTCGCGTTACTCAGGTCAAGCGGCCCCGATGGACATTAGCCACTAATAGCCAGAAGCCATCACCGTCTACTCCTTCGCGGGTCCGCACCGGCTCCATGAAGGCACACCGCGACCCGACGAATTGCTAAGCACTACGAGCGGTGTGTCTTTGTACCGCAGACGGAGCCGCTGGGGGCAACTTTTTTACGCACACGGTACACCCCTGACTGTTCGCTAACGGACCGTTGGTGCCATGCCAGGGGAAGCGCATGCAGCATCCGATTGCTTTCGGCCCATGTCTGCGACAAGAAGAATGGGCGCCTCGACGAGTAGTCGACTGTCTATATCCGTGATATCCGGATCGCATCTCAGTATCGGAAGTCCGATTCAATGCACGTTTGATCTCCTTTGCGATATGGACGAGGTCTCAGACCCTATACTTGCAGATGCGACAGTGGATCACCCGCGCGGTTGTGTGGGGAAAGCTTGATGGCTTGGGTAAGGTAGCCGCCCTAGGGCTCTGCGCCCAGTTCCTGCTCCTCCGAGAATTGGG